CCTGGAGGGCCTGGGACTCAGGGTCAATTTTGCCAAGAGCCCGTTGTTCCCCAGCCAGCGAATATCGTTGCTGGGAACAATTTTCAACTCAGCCCAAATGAGAGCTGTAGTCACGCCGGAATGGGCTCTGGCCATACGGAGGCTGGCGACCTCCTTCGAGATTGGTACCACTCGCCCTCTCAAAGCGTTTCAAAGGATGCTGGGCCTCATGGCGGCAGCATCGCCAGCGCTACAGTTGGGTCTGCAGCATATGCGCCCCCTTCAACGCTGGTTGAAACCACGGGTTCCATCCCATGCATGGCGTCACAGATGCCTGCAGATCAGGGTGAGTCAGGCCTGTGTATCGGCCCTGGCCCCCTCGGCCCGACCTATGGGCCCTGCACCTCTGGCCGCTCGACGGGAGCCTTCGAGCCTCCCAGAGTGAGTCTTAAACACAATTTCGGAGGCTAGAGCTCCCTCCGTCTACGAGATGCCTCTACGCCTTAAAGTGGTCTTTTTTCTCCGCTTGGTGTCTAAACCGCGGCAAAGACCCTCATACTTCCGATTTGACAGAGGTGTTGTCATTTCTGCAGGAGTTGCTGGATAAGGGGCGTTCCCCATCCACGCTCAAAGTCTATGTGGCGGCTATAGCGGCCTCTCATGCCCCTATTGAGGGCCAATCGGTGGGCAGGAACAGCCCGGTCATCCGCTTCCTAAGGGGTGCTAGGAGGCTGAATCCGCCTCGTCCCCCTACCATCCCTTGCAGGCCAGGGTCCTTTCCGCTGAAGTGACATGCGCTGCGTAAACAGATCTGGCAGAGAGCCCTTGGCCATATCACGCTCAAGTTCTCTGGCATTGTTTCACCTGTTAGCTCTCGACCCCTGGGTGTCTAAGTTAGAGGAGTACTCTGGAACGATTAACCAGGCCGGGTGTGACCTCGGGAAGCTCAGCCCGTCTTAGCCTTGGATTGTTGTTAACTTGTCTATGGGCATTGGTTGCTTATGGAAGTTTTATACCTTTAGTTGTTCCACTACATTAGCACGGCGTGATTGTATTGTGTTCCCATATGCGTCTAGCAGACGCAGTAAGAGTGTAGTATCGAAAGGGAACATACTCGGTTACTAACGTAACCTCGGTTCCCTGAGATACGGGAACGAGTACTGCGTTGCTAGCCGTGCTATGTAGCTGCACGACTCAGTCGTTGCTTCAGTCGAAGTAACCTGAGAATCCTGTGGCGAACGCCCGCTTATATAATCAGATGCCCCGCCCATTCTGGTGGGCTTTGGCGGGCTTCATCGCCATAGGCTCGTGCAGCTCCGCTGCCTAGCCATTGGTTCGTTTTTAATACACTGCACGAACCAATGGCCATGCAGTTTCACTGCATGAATGAAAAGGCTTCAGTTCAGGAGAAAAAGGCTTTTTTCCCGCATGCGTCTAGCAGACGCAGTACTCGTTCTTGTATCTCAGGGAACCGAGGTTACGTTAGTAACCGAGTACGTTTCTTCTGCTGAAAACAGATGATATTTTGAAGAATGTTGATAATCGAACAGTTGCTGGTAGCCATTGATTTCCTATCATATGAAAACAAATACTATGAAAGTCAATGCTACCTGTTTGGTTGCAAATATTCTTCAGAATATCATCTTTTGTTTTTAGCAGAAGAAACTAACTCACACAGGTTTGGAACAACTTGAGAGTTAGTAATTACTTCTCATTTTTGGGTGAACAATCCCAAGGTGAAAACCAAGGTGTAATCCAAAGGTTGAATTTACTCACCATCTGCCATCTAATACATACCAGATGAGACCCTCAAAGACAATTATACTTAACCCTCATAAGGTCCTCGTTTCCTGTTTACACTAAGGGTCTTTGGGGTCAATATGACCCCAAAATTGAAAGAATAATTGTAAAAAATATATACATTTTTAATCATACAAATAATATATAATTTTTTTATTTACTTCTCATCTATACATTAATGCTGTGTTTTGGGAGATATGAAGTACTTCTCTACCTGTTTACCACAAAATTTCTCAACTACACCATTAGCTTGCATGTGAAATATTATTTTTTATGGAAAAATCACTTAAATTATTATCTAAATTTAATTTAAGTTGTTTCTGGATATTGATCTAGGTGTTAGGTGTAGAA